TCCTCTGGCCTTAACCTTGTCTCCTGCTACTTTCCAATCTCTTTCCAGGTCACAGACCACTCCTGAAACATGGATTACTCCACCCTCCATGGCTGCCACTGTCATTCAGTTATGTCTCACTCCGCACAGGACAGGGAGAGCCTGGAGATATGAAGGTTTGGTTCTAAACCACTGAAAAAAAGTCCCACAAATTTCTTTTCCCAGTGTACATAAAAGTCATTTCACACCACACTGTAGTCTATTAGGTGTGCAGTAGATTATGCTTTTAAATGCGTATGCCATAATTCAATATGCTTTATTGCTAAAATGTGAACGAAACGATCACCTGAACTTTCAACAAGTCATAATGTTTTCGCTGGTGAGGGGTCTTGCCTCAGTGGTGGTGGCTGCCCACTGATCAGGGTGGTGGTAGCTGAAGGCTGGGGTGGCTGTAGCAATTTTATAAACAATGGTGAAGACAGTGGTGAAGTTTGCCACACCAGTTGAGTCTTCCTTCCGTGAAAGCTTTCCCTGCAGCCTGCAATGCTATTTCATGGTACTTTATCCACAGAACAACTTTCAGAATTGGAAACATCCTCTCAAACCCATCCTCTCTCAGCAGTTTTATCAGATGAGTTTACGTGATATTCTAAATGATATTCTAAATCCTTTGTTGTCATTTCAACAGTGTTCAGCATCTTTATCAGCAGACATTTCCATCTCAAGAAACCACTTTCTTTCTTCCTCTGTAAGAAGCAACTCTTCATCTGTTCGAGTTCGATCATGAGGTCACAGCAGTTCAGTCCCATCTGCAGGCTCCGTTTCCACCACATCTGCAGTCACTTCCTCCACTGGAGTCTTGAACCTCTCACGGTCATCCATGAGGGTTGAAATCACCTTCTTCTAAACTCCTGTGAATGCTGGTAATTTGTGACGTCCTCCCATGTTCTTCATGGCATCTGGAATGGCGAGTGCTTTCCAGAAGGTTTGCTTTGCCAAGATCCACCAGAAGAATCACCACCTATGGCAGCTGTAGCCTTACGAAAGGTATTTCTTAAATAATGACACTTGAAAGCTGAAGTCACTCCTTGACCCATGGGCTGCAGAAGGGACATTGTGTTAGTAGGCAGGGAAATGGTCATCTCCTGGTCCATCTCCATCAGACCTCTGGTGACCAGGTGCATTGTCAATAAGCAGTGGTATTTTTAAAGGAATCTTTGTTTCTGAGCAGCAGGTCTCAACAGCGGGCTTAAAATGTTATAAACAGATATGCTGTCACATCCAGGGACTTCCTTCCATGCACACAGCACAGGCAGAGCAGATCTAGTGAAATTTGTAAGGGTCTTGGGATTTTCAGAATGGTATCGAGGCTTCAGCCCAGTCACCGGCTGCATTAGCCCTAAGGGGAGAGTCCGCCTGTCCTTTGAATACAGGCGTCGACTTCCCTCCAGCTGCGGAAGTCCTGGATGGCGTTTTGTTGCAATATAAGGCTACAATGTCCACACTGAAAATCTGTCCTTTAGTCATGTTTGTGAGTTATCGCAGCTGGATGTTCTGGATAACTTGCTGCAGCTTGCCCATCAGCACGCACGGCTTTACTTTTATGTTATGGACGTAACGTAAGGAAGAGGAATTTGTTTCTTTAAACCCCATGAACAAACCTCTGTCGCTTTCAGCTTTTCTTCTGCGGCTCCTCACCTCTCTCAGTCTTTGTGGACTTGAAGAGAGTTGGAGCCTTGCTCCTGATTACGCTTCAGCTTAGGCAATGTTGTGGCTGGTTCCATCTCCCATCCAGGCCACTCACACTTTCTGTGTATCAGTAACAGTGCCAGTTTGCTTTCCTACCATTCATGTATTCACTGGAAGTGGCATTTTGAGTTCCTGGGAGGACTTTTCCTTTGCATTCACAGCTCGGCTGTTTGGCACAAGAGGTCGAGCTTCCAGCCGATCTCGGCTTTTGACAGCCTTCTTTACTAAGCTCAATCATTTCCAGCTCTTGATTTAAAGTGAAAGGCATGTGACTCTTCCTTTCACTCGAATACTCAGAGGTTACTGTAGGGTTATTAATTGGCCTAATTTCAACAGTGCTGTGTCTCAGGAAATAGGGAGACCCGAGGCCAGGGAGAGAGACAGAAGAACGGCCCGTCAGTGAAGCAGTAAGAGCACACGCAGTCACTGACTAAATTCACTGACATATGTGTGTGTATACGTGTATATGTGTGTATACACACTGTGTGTATGTGTGTACACACCATATACATTTATACTTGTGTGTACACACTGTGTGTATGTGCATATGTGTGTACCCACCATGTGTATATGTATATGCATGTACACACACCGTGTGTATGTGTGTATGTGTGTGTACACACCACGTGTATATGCATATGTGTGTATACACACGGTGTGTATGTGTATATGTGTGTGTACACACCACATATATGTGCATGTGTATACACACCACGTGTATGTGTATATGTGTGTGTACACACCACGTGTCTGTGCATATGTGTGTATACACACAGTGTGTATGTGTATATGTGTGTGTACACACCACGTATATGTGCATATGTGTGTATACACACCACGTGTATGTGTATATGTGTGTGTACACACCACGTGTCTGTGCATATGTGTGTATACACACGGTGTGTATGTGTATATGTGTGTGTACACACCACATGTATATGCATATGTGTGTATACACACGGTGTGTATGTGTACATGTGTGTGTACACACCACATGTATGTGCATATGTGTGTATACAGATCATGTTATAAGTTTGGTTTGTGGCACCCTAAGCCAATTATAATAGCAACATCAAAGATCATTGATCACTGCAGTGGATGTAATGATGATAAAAAAGCCTGAGACATTGTGAGAATCACCAAAATGTGACGCAGAAACACAAAATGAGCATGTGGTATTGGGAAAATGGTGCTGACTGACTTGCACAGTGCACAGTGGCCATGAGTCTTCAACTTGTGAAAATAAAACAAGATATGCCTGTATTTTATTTTTTTTAAGTCTGGAATGAATACCTTGATGCCAAGAATTGGATGTTATAATCTTTATATAAAATGACAGTGCCTATAGGCCAGTGCTTTACACACAATTATCTCTCTCTTTCTCTCTCT